GAGAGAGAGAGAGAGAGAGAGAGAGAGAGAGAGAGAGGAAATCGACGAGGAACCAGGCCAAAGGGATAAACCCGACAGGTGGCGTCACCTGTCGGCAGCGAGGCGAACTACCTGCACAAGACCGCTGTATGTGTGTGTGCTCAGGCAATATAGGGCTCTTGTGTGTGCGTGCGTGAGTCCGTGCGTTTAAAGAAATACCACACACACACACTAATATGAACACGACTTTAAAACACGACTTTAAAATCCACAGTATCACTTCACCCACCCAGGCTTCTCCACCACACCTAAGCTTCTCCACCACACTTAAGCTTCTCCACCACACTTAAGCTTCTCCACCACATCTAAGCTTCTCCACCTCACCTAAGCTGCTCCACCATACCTAAGCTTCTCTACCACATTTAGGCTTCACCTCATTTAAGCTTCTCCACCACATTTAAGCTTCTCCACCACACTTAAGCTTCTCCACCACAACAAGAACACTATCGGCAACAGCTTTGGTACTACTATCATAACCACCATCGAACAACAACAACAACAATTACACTACTAGCATGGTTACTATCACTACCACCACTGCTTACTACGACCACTACCACTAGCTACTATTACCAGTACCACCACTGATACTACCATTACTACCACTACTACTACTATTGCTACAATTCACCACCACTACCACCACACCCGTTCACCACAATCACCCTAACCAGATGAAAGTGTTGAAAAGTTCTAATAGTTTCCCGTAGACTTTAAATCCTTTGGTTTTTCGACAGAGGGAGAGAGGAAGGGGGTCGACCAGGTGGCTTCAGTCCGTTCACATTGTTATTAGAAACGGCCCGACCACAGGGAACCATTGAGTGTTTGCTTGTCTGTCTTTCTTTCTTCTTTAATTATTCTTTATTTATTTATTTTTAATTGTTTATGTTTTTGAAGCGCTATTATTGTTTGAATTTTATCGATATTGTTAATGGAAACGATGAAATGAAGAGCGAAATACGGTACTGTATATACTGTGTGTGTGTGTGTGTGTGTGTGTGTGTGTGTGTCATATGGCGGGATTTTCATGAAATACAAATAGTTTTTCTTCCAGTGGGACACACACACACACACACACACACACTAAAGCCAGTTTTGGAAGCACATATGAAAACCCACTAACTTTAAGTTTAATTGATAGTAATATGTTTACCAGAGTTTTACTGCGGGTTTAGAATATAAATACTGGTATATTCGCGGCGTAATTTGATAAAATAGACCCGCAACTCCACTGCCTAAAAATACCATTCCACTCCAAGCTAAATCCATTTGTGTGGGTTTTTTTCGGGTCGGTCAGTCCAGCCCAAATTACTCTGCATGAATTAACTTAAATACACCTTTATGGCGCAGATATTCAAGCATTACGACGTCTTTTAACACTGAGATGTAGACGTAAGCTAAATTTTCGGGTTGCGAATTTATCATATTTAAGTCCTTTCTCAGGCAAGACCAACCTGCCTCTCCCTCTCCTGCCTCTCCCCTGACCCTTCCTCTCCTGCCTCTCCCCCTGACCCTTCCTCTCCCCTTGACCCCCCCCCTCTCCTTCTCATGGTCTCCCTCGCTTCTGTGTTCAGGAGAATGGAGTAAAAGATGTTTAATATTTTAACTTAAGGTTTGGTTGTTATTGTGCCGCGCCTCGTGTTGGTGAGGAGAGACGGCAGAGATTATTACGTGTATGAGTGTTATCTTGTATTATCTTGGCCTAGTAAGTTACACACGAGTAACTTAGTTTGGCTGAGTACGATTATTTTTGTATTATACTTGATTAACTTAGCCTGAGTAACTATCACATCGTAGTAATGTGATTTTAATGTAATGCTGTATAATGTGAGGGTAAAGGAGGATAGTAATGTTATGTGAGAGGGAATATTAGATAGTTAACCTGAAAATAAAAATGATGTGAAAAATCTAACTAACGACGATCTGGCAGCCCACAGTCTTCGCCCTCTACAGGAAGGTGTTTATGTACGGTACACTTCCCTCTGATCTTTAATCGAATCTAGTTTAAGACAAAAGCTGGCATTATATACGAGGTCACTTCAGGAACGCAGATGTGGTTTGGCGTAAACAAGGGCTTGTGTGTTGAGGACAAGACCACAATGACTTAAAACTTAAATAAATTAGTGAATAATAAACACCTGAGAAATTACATCGTGTGTTGATATTCTTAAGAACTTATGTAATTCCACTCAGAAGGCCTTTTATAAACACTATTATACCACTATATATACTGTATACGGTGATGGTATTATGGTGTGGATGAGAAGTTACATTGATATTAAAACGTTTACATCTTTCACACCCAGAACAGCGTATAACACCAATCCGAGGTACGTCATTCATCACTCAACAACAACGGCTCCTACGCTATTTTTTACCTCCAGTGAGAGACTTTTACATAAAGAGGCGTAACGCAGTTGTTATTGACATATAAGTGAGACAGATGGTCGGAGAGGGGAGGTCGTCCATACTGTGATTGGTAAATATTGTATGTTATGTCCGGCCGCGGGAGGTGGTGGGAAACACATCGGGGTGTGAGATGAAGCTGTTGACGAGTGGGATAAAGATCGAGGAGACTGAGAATGGTTAAAAAAAATGGGAGTTGATAAAAAGTAAAAACATAAAACTAATGTACTGGAGTAAAAAGGATATATTCACGTTTAAAATGAAAGGTTTAGAGAGATAATTGAATAGATTTTTCAGAGGTGTGTTTATCCGGAAAGAGGATATATTTAAGGGAAAAAAAACACTCCATCTGTACTTTTATTCTGAGGAAATTGTAGGGAAATATATTCAGAGAAAATTCAGGAATACTTTTATATTTTATTTATTTATTTATTTATTTATCTATTTTTATATTTAAGGAGAGAGGCGTTGGATGACCTTCTGTGGCCGAGAGGGGAAGGGAATGGGAAATGTGAAGAGAAGGAAAATTTGATGGAATGAGAGAAAGCTGTTCGTGGCACATCATTCCTCAATATAAACAGAGCCAGTAAAAACCTCTATTTAACGGACTATTGAGAAGAAAATCCGTGATATCGAGGGTCCGTCATATGTAAAACCTCGATCTAATGAACTATATAGAGATGAAAGTCCGTTATATCGAGAGTCTGTCAGATGTAAAACTCCATCCAACGGATTTTAATTTGGAGATAGAAGTCCGTTATATGAAGGTTTCACTGTAATGATAAAACCCTTCAGGCAATCATCACAATACCAACACAAAACAGTAATAAATGACGGAAATAAAAGAGACGCGGAGATAGATGCCAAAGAGATAAAAACAAACAATATTACTCCCGTTCACTCGTCCACATCCTCGACTTGCGCCACACAGTTTAGTCACGCCCTCTTAAACCTCTCTCTGACCGTGAGTTTTTGTTTACCTTGGAGATCATAAATTAATGGACGATTAGACCTGACTGAAGAGGAAGTTTGAGTTAATTTTGATAATCAGATCGTAAATTTTAGGATGGTGGTGGTGGTGGTGTTGGGGGAAGTGGGAGTGGTGGTGGTAATGGGAATTGTGGTGGTGGTGGTGTTGGAGGAAGTGGGAGTGGTGGTGGTAATGGGAATTGTGGTGGGTGGTATTGGAGTTGATAGTAATATTGGTTATGTTAATGGGAGCTGGTAGGTGAAATAGTGTATGTAGTGGTGGTAGCCGGAGCATTGTAGTGGTGAAGAAGATTGTGTTGATGGTATAGTGGAGGAGATAGTGGTAGTAGAAGCTATAACTATTACAACCAATACATGATACGAGTAGAAGTGATGAAAATGATAATGATGGTGACCCATTGTGATGATAGTGACGGGCAGATCGATAGATAGATGATGGTGATATATATGGTGAGAGAGTGAGTGCCTCCCCTCCCCCCTCGAGGCCAGAATACTCGAGTCAGCTATCGTTGGGTGGAGGAGTAAGTGAGGGAAGGGAGGAGAAGGCTGGGAGGGTCTTGGTAGATCTTGATAGATGGGATATTGGACACTGCCTGACGGGAACAGATGGCCCGACTATGATTAACTTCATAACCTATATGAGCGACCACTGAGAGAGAGAGAGAGAGAGTTATAAGCTGCAGCCACCTCTATCCCAGAACGTGACTCCATCTGTTGGCTCCAGGGCAAACCTTCTGCCCGGGCCGGCTGTTCTGTGTGTGTGTGTGTACTCCCCGACATTTCGTAAATCTGATTTATATTATATTCAACACACTCCCAATATCCTCGATGTGGACAAAAAAGTATAACATTATTTTCTCTTAGGTACTGACGTTTCATCTGATCCCAGCCAGCATGAGTGTTATAGAAGAACAGATTTAGATTCTTTGTTGAAGGATTTAGTGGCATAAAAAGATCCAGATGTACAAAAATACAATTGTGCCCTTTGTCTGACTTTTAATTTTTTATGATTCATTCCCCTTTAAATGGCCAATACTTTAATCTTTCTCCCCTTTCTTCCTTTTTCTATTTTATTGAGGGTTTAAAGTTTAACGGAGATATTATTATTCTATTCTGTATTAATAGCTGACATACTAACTGATATAATATTGCATAGTGTTAGGAAATTGACTTTTGTACGTAAGACAATTTATTTGATTTTTTATAATCCTGAAAGTGTTCCGCGATAATATTTTACGATTCCGTCAAGAGAGCAGATAGTGTGATGTTTTTAAGTGGATACAAAATTACGAATTTCATTACAGTAGGTATTGACTACAAAATAAACTCAGATCTTAACTCAAGAGGATCTGGCCTTGTTGTGGAGGTGATCTGTATTCTGGACGAAACACCGAGACGTGGACAGGGTGCAAATCTGTCTCCCAACTGTCCAAATACTACCACCAACTTTACCTCCGATTTTTTTATACATATTTTAACAGAATATTCATTAAAATGTATAAAGTTATGGGTACTATTTATAGAACTTTTTATTGCTATTAACGATTCTTTTTTATCTCCTTCAGATTCCAGTGTCGGACACCAGAACAACAACAAAGGCGGTAATAGCAGCCTGAATGGTTTTCTGTCCTGTCACGGGTCGTCACAGTCTTACTGTAACAAAATCTGGCCTAATCTGACAGTCACAAGCTTCCTGTCACAACCTCTGGTCTGTCTCGGAACGTCACAACCCGTGGCTCATCACAACTCCGGGGTATTACAACACAACACCTGGACAGCTGCTCTTCCTATCGATGCCTCATAATGTCCTCGGTAACTGTGTGTCATGAGTGTGTCATAGACGGTCATATGGCAACTGAAAGTGGGTTTAATATGGCAGCCAATATGAGTGTAGCTATGACAGAACATTGTGGTACAGTTAAGTACAAGATAAATACAGAGACCCACGTAAACACAGACGCTGCTGGTGGCGAGATAAACAGTGGCGTGGGGGATTACAGCGGTTACTACTCAGGACAACAGACATATACAGTGCAGGAAAACTTATGTAGCGTAGAAGGAAATTCAGGTATTGACATTTTAAGTAGTGAAGTAGGAAAATCAGATCAGCAGTTAGGGTATAAAAGTAATGTAGACGAAATGAGAGGTAACGGAGCTAAAAGCACACCTTACACTACCTTGGGCAGAGGAGCTGGGGAGCATCGAGGAGTGAGACAGCCAGGTGGAACAGTGGAGGAGGAGGAGGAAGAGGCTGTCAACCACACCAGGGTGACAAGACCTCAAGCACCACCATCCATCATCACCCGTGTAGGAAATTTTACGAGCGAGAGTTCAGTGACACTCCACTCTCCTGGGTCTGCTGCTCTCCTCTCCATCACTCGAGATCCATCAACGTCTCAGAATGACCCAAACCCGACGATATTCAGAAATCGACGCAGTTCATTGACACTGACGACTGATTCAAATTCAACGAGGTTTCTGTGTCCTCCCGGTGCTGCGGCAACTGCCACTAGCAGCCTGTCATCTCGTTATGGGTTTGCTGATATAGAAGCGACCTCCACCAACCATTTGATGTCACTTTCTTATGATCGAGCTGCGTCTTCCGCTGTGGGTGGTGTCGACGCCCCATTATCCGGAAATTCTGTCTCAGGTCTCGTACCACCAACCTTAGGAACGATCCTGACCTCAGCTGGTAGCAGGCCAGGAGCTGGAGGCCAGGTTTCAGCACGGGTTGGCCTCATACCACCACCAGGAGGCCAAGGATCAACCTCAGTTGGTCTCATACCACCAGCTGGTCGACCGATTTCCTGGGCAGGTGGTCGCGGGGGAAAGATGGTGAGCCGCCTGCTGGAGGTGGCCGTGTTGCTGCTCACACTGCTTCTGGCTACACCCGTCGCTGGTAAGTCTGCTTATGTTATTATTAACGTATTTTGTGTATAACGCTAATGAAAGTATCCGTAATCCTAGCTGACATCGACACCGTAAATTCTAAACCACATAAGCCGGAATATAAACTTAAAAACAAAGCATCAAACTTTCACTGACGTAAATAATTATTAAAGATATACATAACTGACAATATCCGTCAATATAAGTATAATAACAGTAATGTGTATTTCAGGTGTTAAATCAAGGGAGTTGTTGAAGCCAGAGACATCATCAGGTACGAGATATATATTAATTTTACGATCCTTTGAGAATTGAGCATAAGAAACATACAGTACTGTCTTTCAATATATACACAAACAACACTACAACCCGGCTAATATTACGTACCGTCAACACCAGGTTAGAGAGAGAGAGAAAATACGTAAAAAGAAAACAAGAGAAAATAATGAAACACAGAGAGCTAGACAGATGAGCCGGGAGTACAGAGGCGTGCGGGAGACTGTGCTATATCGGCTCTATATATCTCCCAGGCGCGGGAAATCTTGGCTCTTTCGCCCTGTTGGCTTCTTTACAACCACTCACGGGTCGTCCTCAGGCTTGGAAGACAATGGCGATGAATTTTAATAGTTCTTAGAAATATTATAATAGCGCAGGATTTGCATATACGTATTATTAATAACTATTGTAACTTTATCATGAAAATATAATCTTAATATATACCTTTACTGTCTATACTCGTGTGTCTTCCGGTTATGATAATATGAAATTTACAACCGTCTCGAATGCTGTCTATTGATATTCTTGAAAAAAAAAGCCATAACCATTTGAAAAAAAAAACACCCCTCGTAACATTAAGGAGTTTCAGTTTGTAGGCGAATTTAAAGCTCTCAAATATCCCAAATTTCATATTACTATAAACTGGAATTCAGAGTTAAAATCACTCATGGATCGTGGAAACGTTTGAGTGATGTAGAGTACCTCAGCACCGTTCACTAAGTTATATCTTCTACACTGATCTACACTGTATCTTATAAATGATATTCTTGAGGTGGGAGAGAGAAGATGCCTCGCTCTAGGTCGTCGTGTAACAACGTGATGGATTAATAAGTGTTGACTGAACGTGACGCTCCTATCGTGCAGCCAACGATTGCTTGATACGGTTTTAATCTACGACAAAGCCCTTAAAATTCTCAGTCAAGCTAATATTATTATCTGTAACTCTGGTAAAATACACTGTTTCAGTTTCCATCGAAAGAGCCAATAAAGGTTTAAACAGTGAAGAAACGTTGTATTGGTGTTACTACTTGATGGTTGAGAACAGTGAACCGGTTCTTTAAACACGCCCAACACTCTTCAGTCTACAGGGTAGTTGTACAGTGTCTTTTGTTACTATTAGTTCGGGAAACTGATATATTAGAGAACCTTTAATGTGATTTATTCTGAATGATAACTGAACGTAGTGAAACTGTTTCTAATTTTATATATAAAAATGTGACCTTCATATATATATATATATATATATATATATATATATATATATATATATATATATATATATATATATATATATATATATATATATATATATATATATATATATATATATATATATATATATATAGTTATAATGGAAATTCAAAACTTGCAAATTCGGGTCGCTGCCCAGCACTAAATCCTAAAAGAATGGAGTCCATCAGCTGAGCACAGAGAGCAGCATCACCAACAAAAATAGAAGCTCTAGTTGAGTTAGGAGAGCCGCAGCCCATTTTCCCATTAAGTATATTGAGTTGGGGCCAAACCCGCCGGGGTCCTGACAACACCGCTGTAAGGGTAAACACTTTACACGGAAAAACAAACAAACGTTAGTTTCTTTACGTGAAGACTGATCACGAAATACTACCGATATTGAAAAACACAAAAGCTTCAATGATCCAACTGGACTTCTTGTTTTTGATGACGAAAAAGAAAGGATTCCTTCCAATAACACTTTCGAAACTGGAGTTAAATGCATTTCTGAATACCACAAAACTGCATCCCATTGTTGCTAAAAGAGCCAAAAGTATCCTAAACTATAAACCAGCCTCCGTTATGGCTGAGGAGACGTGAAGTGCCTCTTACAGTACACTGCCAGACGAGCATCCTTGTGGTGTTGTGTTTATGGATAATAAATTTAGCTCGTACATGAAAGACTAAGACAAAAAAGTGGGAAATAAATGGTGGTGTATGTAGGCCTCTCTCGCCCGGAGTGGACCAGCCCATGTACTCTCCCTGACTGGTGGTGGTGGTGGTGGTGATTTATTGATGCTGTAGTGCTCGACCGACTGGATTTAACACTTGCTTCCTGTCCACCCAGCTGTGAATGGACACCTAACTTAACAGATGAGGAAATGAAGACAGTTAAGTGCAGCACTGAACCTGCCCCTTTATGTATCGAGGAAAGGTTTAGTTTACTGTGGGTCGTGTCTGCTCTACTCCCGGCCAGTCTACGGGACACATTTTCACATTTTTCAGGGTTATGGTGCTGTAATGTTAGGGCACTATAATGCTGTTGATTTATGGTGTTGTGATGCTTTAATATTAAGATGGTACAGTGTTTTTATGGTGATGTGGTGTTGCCCTGTTATCACCTTACTGTGGCGTTATGGCTATATAGTGATATGGTACCTTGGTGTTAAGAGTCCCATAGTGTTGAGATTATATTATGGCGCCTTATTATCATGACACTGCAGTGGTGCGGTGTAATGGTGCTCAATGGCGCTGTGTGATACCGAGACACCGCGCGTATTATGTCTGTTGACTTTATCGTCCCCGTGAGTGGAACTGCTGCGTCTTGGTAAATTACGAGACAAAGAATCGAACCCAGTATTTAGAAATGATGGAATGTCATAACGAGTAATCTGGGTAGAATTCCATTTACCTGACAAGACTTTATTTTGATCTCTCCAATACTCAAACTGTTCGACTTTGAAAGAAATTAAAAAGTTTGATCGGAGAAATGAAAACGTTCAACTTGGAGAGAATAAGACGATCGACTTAAAAGTTTAAATCGATCTTCTTTGTTCACATATTTATGCCGATTTGATACCAGTGATCAGATCATATTTTACTCAAACCTTCCACTCAATATCCCATAATTTCAGTCGACTCGTAGTTAATTACCTTGAATACAGTTTTGCGAGCGTTTATACCTGCAAACACACCTTTTTCTAGGATTCAACCAATTAATTTAATTTTCGTTTAAGAGTGAGCAATGATCGCTTACACCAGTGTTTAAAACAGTCAGGGACAAACTGCAACCCAGACACGAGAGCTCTGGCCACCAAAATACAGGCACAACTCACACTAACGAGCCAAGTTGAGGCCTTTACACTTCAAAGCTTTCACTTAATTTATTGCAATATTATATCAGAGTGCCATTCTGTGAGTGAATATTGCATTTACATGTCAGTTTCATTAAGTAAACAGAATGCAGAAGGAAAATCACTTTTTTGTCACCTCTGAGAGCATGTTATTACCTTCTCCTCTTTGACTGCCCGACCTGCCGCCTGTCTAAAGCAACCGACTACTAACTTAAACCACCATCCACAAGGAGTTAAACTATCCTTATCAATAGTGTAAACCTTCGTCCTTCATTATTTTAAATCATCATCCTTAAGGGTTTAAACCATTAACCAGTAAATCACCACTCTTAACCATCGACCTTAATAAAACATCATCCCTGCACTAACCATCATCCTCGTAGGGTTAAGAATACTTACTGTCTGTTATATCCAAACCTCCTTACCTTGAACATCATGAAATTAATCTGAAATATACCTAAATGCTTCCCCCATCCTCGCCTGAAGCCATAATGACGGGGTTAACAGAGGGCTACACTATGTCTAATTATGTAATGTAATGTAATTATATCTAGTTCTGAAATTTCCCTTCCCCCTTCTCTCTCAGTTTCTGTTTGAATTTATACTGTACGCATGCATTTATACATAGATGCATATATACTCACATACATGTAGTTGTAATGGCTCGTCTTTGCTTCCACTTTACCCACTTTCTGTAATAGATGAAATAGTTCGACCCAAATCACACACCGTAACTCACATAATAGTACTGATTCTATCCTTGTGATATTAAAAGATTTTACCAGTGAATTATGATCGTAAAGAATAATGTTAATACACGTAGCACCATCTAAGTTTTAACAATACAAAAATATATGTGAAATAATGTTCAAATGTTAAATATTACACTAAAGGATACCAGAGTTATTCTCGATAATCATTCAAAATATTCAGTCGATTACACCACTAACACGAGAGCACAGGATCAGGAGGGAACAGTGTTTGGGTCGGTTACACTACTAGAAAGCAATAGTTTTACGGGAAGCCATGATAAATATTACTTGAGAAATTTTATGTCAGCGAAGAATATATTATCATTGAGTATTCGATAATCATACCAAATCTATTGACATACCAGAACATTTAAATCACATTTGAAATTTGCATGGCCTAAAGTTTAACCCTTTGATTTAACCCCAGAGAAGAATGTATTCATTGTTTACTAGGTATAACCCAATACCATTATTTTTATTGTACAACTCCACACCCATTACTTACCTCCTATACATTGTCTGCCTTTTATCTCCTCTTATCCATAATTTTATTTCTATGTCTATTATCTTTCTCCAGTGTTTGTCAGCCATTACACACTCCCTCCCTCCCTCCTTACCCATGTTTCCTACACCACCCTCCTCCGTATCTCTCCCTGTTCCTTCCTGTTAAGCTTCTCACCCTGGCGTCTTCTCCCTTCATATATCGCTACTAATATTTATACCCTTATATCTCCCTTCGTTAACTTGTCACCTTTGCATCTCCCTCTTCCACTTCTCCCTGCTAAGCGTTTCACCTCTTCATCTCCTTCCTAAGGTTCTCTCCCTGTTATTTCTCTCCCCCAGGGCGCTACGACCGCGGGGGCCCACAGCACAGCATCACCTGGGGTCGAGGCAACAGCCACAGCTCAGCAGTGTTCGGCAACGTACTCACCAACGTGACGGCCGTGCTGGGTCACCGCGCCCGCCTCCCCTGCCAGGTCAAGAACCTCGGCCACAAGGACGTGAGTACTGTCTCCTGCTGCGCCAGGTTGTTGGCTTACTCGCTGTAGCAGTTGTTGAAGTTTTCAGTAGTGTTCAGATTAGCTGTATTGAGTGTGACAGCAGTTGTTGTTGTTGTTGTATCGTCTACTACAGTACAGTACTTAGATAAACTGTATATTTGCCTCACGTGTATCAGCCACAGTAAAGGGAGGAGCTGCTCAATTCACAATTACTTGAATAGGCACCTGTTTAATTAATTCCCACAGGTATTATGTCTTTTTACAGAAGATTGATTTGCTTTAGTTAAACAGGTATTGTACAATATTCATTCCCCCCTTAGCTGTTGTATTCCCTCACACACAAGATAAATTAGCTTGTCCAGGCCACCATCTACCGTAAACGTCCCCATAACTGTTGTACTCTCTCCTGGGCGCTATTTACTCTCCCAGGAACCGCCCTCGTACACATCCTGGGAAGTTCTGTCCTTCCGCCAGTGTTTTTACTTGTGGTAATCTCATAAGAGTTCCGCTCCGCCAAACATTGTTTACTCAGACAAAAACTCACAGACTTTAAAGTTACGATGAAGATTTGTGAGGAAAGTCCGGTCACCCTGAAGCCCCCCCCCCCCTAGTGTGTGTGTGTGGGGGTGCGTGTGTGTGTGTGCGTGTGTGCACGCGTGTGGGTGGGTGGGTGTGAAGCACTATGCATGTGGATGTATGACTGTCTGGATGTAACTGTGGATGCATGAGTGTGGATGTATGACTGTGTGTACATGTGACTGTGTGTGTATATGTCACAATGAATGCTTATGATTGTGTGTATACAGGCCTTTGTTTGTGATTGCATATGTGACTTCACTTATGTATGGCTCTGTATATGTGACTATGAGAATTTGTTATTCGGGGGGAGGGGGACTCTCTACCATCTCACACCTGCGACTCGTGGAATTAATATCATAAAAAACTTACAAAAGGATTAAAACTTCTTTCTTCTTATTTGATAATCCTGGGTGTAAGTTTTCTGCGGTGGAAGGGGGAGAGGGAGAGAGAGAGAGGGGGAGGTAGAGAGGGGGTGGGAGAGTAGAGGAGGGAGGTGAGAGGGGTGGGAGGTGAGGGTGGGAGGTAGAGAGGAGGGAGGTGAGAGGGAGGATGGGAGGTGAGGGAGGAGGAGGTGAGAGGGAGGATGGAGGGAGAGAGGGGGTGGAGGAGAGAGGGAGGAGGGAGGTAGAGAGGGAGGGAGGGAGGAGGGAGGTAGAGGAGGGAGGAGAAAAGACAGGAGATGGGAGATAACCACTGGAATGGGGAGATAGATTGAGGGGGTGACTTAGCCTGGGGGAAGAGGAGTAGAGAAGGGGAGAGGATCGGTACAGTTGGAGGGGGAGGAGGAAGAGGAAGATGGAAGGTTAATAAGACCAGGTAATACAAAATTCTCACCTGGGTGTTCTCCTGCAGGTGTCATGGATCAGGCAACGTGACCTCCACATCCTGACTGTCGGCATCTTCACCTACACCAGCGACGACAGGTTCAAGGTGAGTCACGGTGCACCTAGATGGCAATATTCAGGTGAGTCACAACACACACACACACACACACACACACACACACACACACACACACACACACACACACACGAACAAGGGAACTTAACTCTTTGAGGACGATGGTTATAACTCTTCAAGTATGATATCTTTTAACTTATAATATTCAAGGATTTAAATCATCGTCCTCAAAGGGTTTATTATTATACCTCATTAAGAAGATCTGAATAATTGTAATCCTCAAAGAAAGGATTTTGTTTTCACATTATTTGAGAACTTTTTTTTTTACTTTTTCATTAATAAAATTAATTTGTTTTGGTAATGTATTAAGTTAATAATACTCTCTCCTGTTGCTCTCTTTGTGTTGATAACCAAGAGAGAGAGAGAGATATAGCTGAGGAAGTAGAGAGAAAAGATAAAATAAAACAAAATATTAATACAAATGCAGAGTGTGGAGAGGACTGGACAAAGACGTATCGACCCAAGAGGCAACACCGAAATTCAAGCGCCATTTCTCGACTCTTTTTTTTTTCCAGCAATTTCAGAGACACAGAAATGACCCTTCCCTCCCTCCCTCTCTCTACTCTACTCATATACGACCCTCTATTTTCCTCCCTTCCTCCTCCCCAGAAACCCCCCTTCTCTCTCTTTTCCCTTTAAAAAAAATATTAAACGATCCTCTTCCCCCTCCCCCTCCTTTCCATCCCAACTCTCACCCCTGGATAAGACTCTCTTTCTCCAACCCCTAATACAGAATACGACCCTCTTCTAACCTTTCCTCTCCTGCCTCAGAATACAACCTCCCCCTCCTCCCCTTCACTGTCAAACTCTCAAAAAATACTCTTAAGAATAAAACGTAAATTTCTTTATTTCTTCTTCCCCCCCCGAGGCCAAAAACTCCGGCATATGTGAACAGAAATTCGGACCCTGAAATGAAGGCTCCCGATGTAAGGTACTTCCGGGCGAGCCATAGCGAGGTAATATTTGCCGGAAATGTGACCCGGAGCCAACCAACCCTGGCGGGGGCGAATTCCCTGTTTTCTTTTTTTTTCTTTTTATATTTCTATATTTTTCTTTACAAAGGAGGTTTATATATACTTATTATATTTACTTCGATCAGGTGGTGGATGGTGGCGTCCCAGGCTGTCCCTCAAGTTGTTCTCAAAGGCTTTATATAGCTGTGATGTTTGGTTGATCCGTCTATAGTTTTCTACATCACCTTTTTTCTCCTCTTGTTTTTTATTGGGGTGACATTGGTGTTATCCTTGATCCAGGGATTTCTGGAATAGGAGTCTTAGTGGAGTGTAAATCTCGCTTTCTACCTCCTATATCACCTTGATCTGAAAAGGATTTGATGATTGAGATATATACAGCTATGTACTTACCCTGAAATTAAGGCTATTAAGTGAGGTTTAATATAAGAACAGAGTGACTCCCAACATTATTCAAGTTTACCCTAAAAACTAATGTTCTTAAGTACATCTGTGGGACATGTTTTCTCTAAAAAAGAAAACACACACACACACACACACACACACACACACACACACACACACACACTCCTCACACACACACACACACACACACACACACGACGAACTCAGTTGGTATTCATGAGTTAAAACAAAAAAAAAGTCTTATTGTATAAAAATCAAGGAAAAAACTTCACTGAGAAGAGTTTGGAAAATATACAGTGATGGTCCCTGTTTCAGTGAGACCTCCCGTGAGCCGAGGTGTGGAGTCTGGTGTATTGGGTCTGGCTTGTTGACGTCTGGGCAGTAGTGTTTACCTGACGCCTTGGAGGGGGGAAGTGGATGGTGATAGTAGGGGTATGATGGTGTGGTGATATTAGTGGGGGTATGGTGGTAATGGTGTGGTGATAGTAGTAGGGGTATGGTAGTATGGTGATAGTAGTAGTATGGGTATGGTGGTGTGGTGATAGTAGTAGGGTATGGTGGTGGGGGATGGTGGATGAGGTCGGGAAGTGATACAATGGTGGTGGCAAGAGTGGGGAAATAGTGGTAGAAGTTGTGATAGTGGAGGTGGTGGTGGTAGTAGTAGTAGTAGTAGTAGTAATAGTGAAGGTGTTAATAGTAGTAGTAACAGTAGTGGTGGTGGCAATAAAAAAAAACGATTGTATGAGAGAGAGCTCAACCCTATACTCCAGATAAAATAATAAATCCCACAATAAGAGAAATGAATAAAATAAATATTGAATAATACCTGAAGAACTGAGCCACCAGGAATCTTATTTTATTTATCCGTCTTATTTCAGCTCATTAGTGTGTGTCTCCTCGTTATTTTAACTCATTCATTCACCAGGAAAAATATTCTGAGTGTCTGAGTTAGTTAATGACGGCCAGAGAATATACTTAAGAATCTGTTAAAAAGTATATACACAAAACCAATTGAAACCATGATTTTGTAGTCTTGTAAGATGAGAAAATTAAAATCGCATGAATATCTTAAAAGTATACGAATACAGTACATGAAAGTATATGAAATTCTTAAAAAGTGTTCGACTACATGAAACTACATAAACTTCTTTAAAGTATACAAACTAATGACACTATTATGCGAAAAGTGATTCCATGAACTTCTTAAATAGTTAAAAAAAAGTAAAATGAAAGTAAAAATTCTTTGTGAAAAACATAAGTGTATAATTTGTTTAAAAGTTTACCAAAAATACAAAGTAAATGGAGTTCGAAGATAAAACTGAAGCCTCGCGAAGTTCTTAGTAAAAGATAATGAAAATTTAAAGTTTCCTCCACAAAATTTGAAACTAATTTTGCTTCTTGGGGGAGAGAAGAACGGACGAAAATCCTTAATAAAAATAATTTTCCTGTTAGTGTGAGAACGCAGGAGGAGGAGGAGGAAGCGTAGACTCGCAGAGAGAATTTAAAATGTAGTGTAAATAGACCAGAGAACGAGGCAAGAGAATACAGGAAGAGAATAAACAAGAATAAACTACTTGGGGAGTCTCGGAGGAGGCGGCGCACGCACTAGGATAAAAAAACAAGGTAAACGTTGCTGTGGGGCCGATATATTCAGGAGCTGGAGGACTCGTACTTCCTGGGGTTAAAAAAAACAAAGTAAACCTCGTGGGCTGATTCAGACGGTGAAGGACTCAGGGAATAGACAAGTCTTGCCTCAGTGTTGTGTATTATCACGGTCGACAACGTGGTCTCCATGCAGGTCTTCTCGGCTGTTGCATAATTTCTACTTACTTCAGCTTTTAAGGAAGCTGATGAATGAGGTACTCTGGTTTCCTCCCCCACAAAAAAAGATCATACATCTGTTTATACATACTCGACATTTTTTATGCTTGGTGTGCAGGATACAATGAAAATGTGACTGATGTAAACTGTGTCGAGAGAGGAATGAAAAATGTGACCGTCATGTGAGTTGGATAAGAACATCGATTAGTTAACACGGTGTGAAATTCCGGGAATGGATATAAGTGAAGCCTGACGTATTCTTAGAATGAATTTTATCGACCCAAATAGTGAGTGTCAGGCCAGTTTGAGGATGAGTGATTGGGTCAGGTGTTGAGCCAAACGATACGTCTTGTCATGATAGTGTTCACCGAGTATATTGATGGGTTGCCAAGTGAGGTACGTATGTGGCAGACTCACAGGAAATTGAAGTGAATTTTTATCGCGCGGTTCAGACGAGTTGCAGCGCTTCTTGACGTGCCAGACTGCCATGGTACTAATCATTAATTCGGAAATGTAGCAGTAATGACATACAGTGTGCAAGGGAGAAAATATATTATAGTAAGCACGAAGATTATTATTTTGAGACAATTTTATTTTCTATTGAATTATAGGCTGGTCACAATTCAAGCTTTAAGGCAACTTCCTGTTAGTAATACAATGGTAAATAACCAAAACACTTTTCTTTTTATCCAAACTGTAGGTAACAAAGTGTTATGTGGTGTTATGAACGAAGAATAATTATTTAACGTGCTGTATGTACAGGGATGATTAATCAACATGTGCAGGCGTAAGAATGAGTAACTCGGGTGTCTTGTGTTGCCCACAGGTGTTCCACCCCCCGGAGGCCGAGGACTGGTTCCTGGACATTAGCTCCGTGACCTTCAGGGACGCCGGAGTTTACGAGTGTCAGGTCTCCACCAGCCCCAAAGTCTCCCTGCCCATCCACCTCACCGTCCTGGGTCAGTGTGTGTTTATATGTTTTCCTTTCTATGTTTCAAGTATACCTTAACAAATAATACCTTCAGCTAACAGTGAGCTAACAAGGTTGTTGTGTGGTACAGCTGTACAGGAGGCGGACATCCTGGGGCCGCGGGAGGTGTACATCCAGCATGGCTCCACCATCAGCCTCCACTGTGAGGTTCAGGCCGGGGTGGAGGCGGTGGGTCCCGTGCGATGGCTCCGGGGCGCCGCCACCCTCAACTACAGCTCCCCAAGAGGCGGCATCAGTATGGAGGTAAGAGACATGTTCCTCTCAAGACTAGTAAGTGTCACGTCTCTCAGCCGTATTACATGACGTTCCCCGCACACGACTCCCCCTGGTGCTCAGGTCCTCCCCGACAATACCACACGACAATGTCTCATAAACGTTCCATGTCTCCTTAACACGCCACTATGTACGAGACCCTTGGAGACCAAACTCTCTATACTGTTGTATCACATCTTCATAACACCACCAACTCAGACACGTTACCAAACCCCGACACAGTTATATTTACGAGTAACAAAATTCAGTGCGACAACAATCACCAAAAGTCATAATAAACGCCAGTACATCACCACAATACTCTCGGGAGTTATACAGGATAACTTGATATTACAGCACCGACGACACACACACACACACACACACACACACACACACACACACTCTTCGACTGATACATTGTAAATTGTTTTATTGTTTATCACGTTCATCGACCTCCACCTATTATCCACCCCATTCCACCTATCCTCTCATTATCCACCCCATTCCACCTGTCCTCTCATTATCCACCCCATTCCACCTGTTCACCCATTATCCACCCCATTCTACCTGTCTATTCACCACCCACTAACACCTTGCACCATCTGGCCGACCACAGGTGGAGAAGACGCCCACCAAGACTATGTCGAAGCTGTACATCACGCGTGCGGTGCGGGCGGATTCCGGCAACTACACCTGCGCCCCCACCTTCGCCCGCCCAGACTCAGTTATCGTCCACGTCGTTAATGGTGAGTATAGCGAAGTGTAGTGAAGTGAAGTGAAGTGTGTAGTAAGGAGTGGAGATGAAAGTAGACGGATGTAAAGGGGTTTTGATGAGTATGTATATTAGTAGAGAAGTGTTGAGGGATGCAGGTGAGTGTAGACGATTATACAAATATGTGTGTGTGTGTGTGTGTGTGTGTGTGTGTGTGTGTGTGTGTGTGTGTGTGTGTGTGTGTGTGTGTGTGTAGAATTCATACGCCTTTGGTAAAGCACAAAATAATCCTATGGCAGTTCTTCATAACACCCGGGATGGATAGCCTCTGAGCTGTCCAGGTGACTTCCCAGAATACCAGGAGTCTCATTACTTGGTCTCTTGTTGTGTCTCGTCAGCAGGAGGTGCAGAGATCCATAACTTTCTCATGAATGTTCATCCTTTTTCAGGAATGTCATCTACTTTACAGTCATTACCATCTCGTGCAAACATGGAACATAATGCAGGATCATTCTTTGGAGCAACAAGTTTATTTACCCCTGAGCATTGTCACTTACCTCATGTCAACAGGTTAATTGCTCTTATCATCGAATCAAGACCCATTTTCCCCAGTTTCCTCCTAAATAAAACTGGTCATAATTACGGTGACTTTGATCCGGATCAACTTCATTAAGTAAACCGGAAATAATTAAAGCTCCATCACTAACATCATTAGATACATCTGACAGTCCTGGACAAACTCATATTATTTGAAGGGGAGGAAAGAGTACGATATTTATCCTCTCGCTTTGAAGTATTGTTGGAGTGAGAGTCACAATAGGGTCTGAGAACAATCTATTTCCTGCTACACCTTTGCGCATCAACAACATGACTTCTTCAACAGGTAAGGTTGTCTGTGCCGCCACTGTGACCAATTACTGTATATCAAACAAGATGTGTTTTAAGATACACTCCATCAAGAAAATTAAGACTTCCTCAAAAAACTCTTTAATGTATCGTTATTAAATCTCATTCAATGCGGTAATGAAACGTTACTTAAAGTAACAAGTGACGCATAAGTCTCCATTAAAATGTACATAAGGTAAACCCTTCTGCCCTCACTTGTAGAAACAGTTACTGCAAATTCATGGAGCCCAAGTGAGTCCTTAGTGTCATCTGCCTTTAAAATGTCACTAGGATAGAAGAGGTCAATATCTGGTACAGTGGCTGGTACAATTTGTGAGATGTGGCACCTCTGTGTTTGTTTACATCACATTAAAACTCCCGGAGTGACCAAAAGAAACATCGTTGCTAGATAAACATTCCCCAGAGGTGCCACATATCACAAAATGCGCCAGCCATTATACCCTGTATTAAGTCCAGGTAACTACAACGAACACTAAATTAATGAACTGATTAGAGAAAAGGTAATTATTGGCGACTTTCCCGCCGTTGATTTTTAATAGAAAACGAATTTAAAAACGCCGCAATTTCGCTGTGTTCTGTAGTGGACACTGTCGCAGTTACGAGAAATGTGTTAAAAGGGGTTTGTTTAAAATTTCAACTTAACATTAACCGAACCGAACCTAACCTAGCATATTTAACACCTGCTGTGGGCGAACAAATGACGCGTCGGCGGTATAGTCGTCAATATTAGCCTCGTTCTCTATAACAATCTTCCCATTCCAAGCTTCCAAGTCTTCCTCACCAGCTGAGGTCACCCAGTTACTGTCAACTGCGAATCCCGCCATAAAGTATTTTGTGTTAATCCTCCACAAATAATTAATATATACAAGCAACTTTTAATGACATTCTGTAAACACAGACATAAAACTGTACTCTTAATACGAGGAGATAATTAAGTTATATCATGTAAGTGAACGAGTTAAATACAATGAAAGGAATTAGTAGTAAAGTATCAGTAACCAGAGACTGTACAGCAGGACCTTCAGACAAGAGGAGTTAACATACCTCGCCTGGCAACACCTACTCGACCAGAACGGGTAAACAGTACTTTAAAATACGTCCAGCAAAACGTTCCTAAACACAGAACATAATACTTGGTTACCTGTTTACTGTAGGCAATAAAGGTCCTCCAGGATGATGAATTATAACACCTCCGCACCTAACCTGATCTTCCACTGACTGGCCAGTGTTGACAATGACAACTTGAGTGTTGACTGCTGACACCAAGTGATTTTGACCGAAATATCGTACATCTTCTAAATAATATCGTACTTAAATTATCTTAGATTCTGAGAAACTATACTTACACAGTGTACAAGTGAAAATGTATATGTGTGTACTTATACTAGTATTCTGTTGATGAATATTTAGTTGGTAATGTATTATGTAGGGGAGGGGCAGAGGGGAACAGGTGTTTGTTTGTGTGCGTTGAATTTATGAGCTTGTGGTTTCATCAATACTATCTGCCCCAACAAAGTTTACATATATCTAGGTTCAAGAAAGCTGATAATAGGCTATTTTAGTAAACTACCCAACCATCACAACATTATTATGAGACAGAAACTTACACCAAAACAACACAAGACTGAGACTCACTGACACGTTCAACAGGTGTGAGTAACAGTGATGAGGACAATACCAGTTTACCTGTTCCTGCCTACGACCCAGAAAACTTCCATTATACTCACACGGCGACAATTGAACTAAATAATATTACAATATTTAGTTATACACGGAACAAGAGTCGACCCCACTGGCACTACCAATCAGAACGCAGGAGGGATGATGAGGAGCCAATCAGAATGTAAGAATTTCGTTGTACTGGTAATATCGTGATATGTGTCCATTTAACGTACTATAAGATAATCATAGTACGTTGTTCAAGTGTCTGACTGTGACTCATTAGAAAGACACATAATAAGTTTTAAATTGCTGAAAGTACAAAATTATTACACAAATGTTACAAACAACGTAAAGTAACAATTATTTATACCCTGTCACACGATACACTGGGTGAAGAATCCTCCAGGATGTCTATTTTTAAAACAATAAAACCAAAACAATTCTCCAACTAGTACACTAAATAAAGGTTATTGATTAGTACAAATACATCAAATATAGCCAGTCTCATCATTATATATACATAGATTTTTATTTTTATTTTGACTATGTTGATATTGAAAGGGGAAACATTTCCGTATGTGTAAATTAATCATAATTGTCAAAATATTTATCTGTAGTAACCTTTGATAAATTATAGAAAATATCAGGTGTTATGATCAATTATTATTTACGTAATTATACATATTTTGCATACAAAAATGTTCCGTCAATCAAACTAATAAGGTAAATAACTAAAAACAAAATATTCGCTCCGTCTATAGTGGTCAATGAAGTGTCTTTCAAACCACAAAATGAAATCTCACTACATTTGCTACGTTAACTTTTTTTTAATACGACCCTGAGAGTACTTATTGATCTTCGCTCCAGAAGTCCAATCCCAAGGAAGGTGGAGAGGCCCTTGACCCTTGTAGTGCCCTCCAGGGTGAGGGTGACCGACACGCCCCGCGGGGGATATCACCTCACCAATCCTGCACACGCCCTCTTGAGAAGCTAAAGTCAAGAGTGTCGCCGCCCCGGAGTCAAAATGTTGCAAGGCGTTTCAAGTTTATTTTTTGGTCGTCGTCGTCATCTGTGTGTCTGTACGTCACTCTGATGTGTTCACTACGCCAAAGAAAATGTGGCAGATATGTAAAAGATAGCGGTGAATGAGCTGTGGTTGGCAACAGCGTGAATCAGTAATCTTCTGGTGACTAATTTCTGGGTAATGTACGGCGGAAATGATGAAAACTGTGGACAATGAGAAGGATGGTATTACATTCTTTAAGGCCCTGGTTTTTGGTATTATATGGGGTGGCTTGGCTGACATAAAGAGTGAATGTTACCCCACCTAGTAAGTGTGGGTGAGAGGCTATTATTAGCCAGAGGTCCAGAGGGTGTACAGATGTCAGAAGAGGGTATTAATATTATCCCTGACTTGCTGGTGTTCAGTAACTCCTTAAGGTTATTCAGCAGTGCTCGGTGACTCCTGAATCTCCTGATGGTTGCCAGACACGCCTCGGCGACAGACAAGTGTATCTCGAAGTTATGTGAGTGTCCCGCTGTTCATATACAGTAAGCTGCATGTGTGCTCATTTGGTTTCAAGATCTGTACCGTCTTGTCAGAGAGCAGAAAGGATGGCTACAACCACACCCTGTTCAGTGTTTATTCAACGCCATTACCTCTCGCACGAGCTCCAACTCCGTCAAAAGTTACGAAGAAGATATGTCTGTCATACATCGACTTGCTGGAGAAGATGGCTTCCGGGCAGGACATTGGAGTTGAAATATTCATTCTCTCTCCCGTCTGGAAGTCTTGGCGTCTTACTGAGGCTTCAACACTACACTCTTCTTAAGTTTTCTTGATATAAGCAAAGCTCTTGATGGAGTGTTACGGGAGCCTTGTCTTAAGCTCACTGATCGAGTCGCTCTCTCGTATCCTGAGATTAGTGTGTCGTTGTTAATTTGCATAAACGCCTCGCATCTTTGCCTAGCGCCCTGACTTACAAAGTTTTTCTAATATCAAATGCACAGCAGCAAGAAAGACGACGCTCGCCTCCACGCCCCCTGAAAAACTGATGGAGTTTTACGGCCTTCAAGAATCTGTATTTTCGGAGCCCTTCCCTTTATCAGATGGTCCGAGAAAAGACACGGACGACACCGCCCGGTTGGTTAACTCCGTCAGGACGCAGCTGGTGAGGCCGCTGGGTCTGGAAGGTTTGTGTCTCCACAACACAGGTGAATATTTACCTGGGAGTTACCTTAAAAAGTTCACAATAAGAACTCAACACATATTTTTGTGTGTCATGTGATGCCTCCAAATTTAAGGTTCTTGTGGGTAACTTTAGTAAGAAAAATGGAAGTTTTCTGCAGCAATTCACTTAAGTCGTCCAAGAATTTGTCCCAATATGATAATTTGGGTAAAATGTGTGCACCGTGAGTCATAACCGGATATCATAGTGGCGCTACAATGGCGATGTTTTTTATTAAACACTATAATAAAGCGAAGCTATTTTCTGGTTCCCTCTCCGGCTGTATACTCCCCAGGGAGCTGTTGTGAGTTTACGCTCTTGTTCTTAACTTAAGTGCGAGGCAAAACTTATATTTCTTTCTCCCTCTTTCTGTTTTTCCTTCTCTTATCTCTCTCTCTCTCTCTCTCTCTCTCTCTCTCTCTCTCTCTCTCTCTCTGCCACACATAAACATGCACGTAAACATTCTCCCCTTCTCTCGGTCACTCACTGTACCTATTGTGGTAATCTTGTGTACTGACAGTTTCTTAATCAACATAGACCGTAATGTAACACTGTATACTACCGTCCCAAGACCGTAAATCACTCACTGTTTTTATCCATAGTGACTTTGTAAAAAATAAATTGTTCACCTGAGATTACACACCCCGGTCTATTCCGCCTAACCTAACCTAACCCCCAAGTAACATTAGGTGTGTTTAATGTTCAGGTGAAATAAGCTGGAGTGTCTAGTGTTCAGGTGACCCAAGTAATATAATAGGAGGTCATCAGTAATCTGGATCAAGTTCTATCATAAACGTGACGGAGGAGATAATTACTACAGGTGAGAGAGTGGCACTACAGGAAGGTCACGAGGTTACGATAAGGTCAAAGGTCAGCATGGATGAGAGGTCAAGTTATATCGAGTAAAAGCAAAGGGTGTCAGATTCACAGTGGCCGCTCAGATCACAGCAATACTGGATCAGGTCTGGAGTTTAGGACACGTCATGTGTATTCATAGACATGAAAACTGTGTGTGTGTGTGTGTGTGTGTGTGTGTGTGTGTGTGTGTGTGTAACTGTATTCTGTGTTTGTACCTTAGCTCATTATATGTGGATGTTGTGGTATGTTTATACTTTATACGGAAAACTTGATCGCTACAGCTGGAGAAGAGTCGGCGGCGGCGGTGCAGAGCAGCGTGGAAGCAGTGCGGGCGTGCATGGGCGTGGTGTGGGCGGCGACCCTGTTGGCTGCTTGGCTCAGGCCCGCTCACTCTCTCACCTGGCGTCCGTGAGTCATGCAGGTGAGTTAGAATTACCTCGACCCACCTGGAGTAACTAAAGGTCTCTCACACACTCAGACAAACACAAACTTCCATCAAGACAATACAGATTCTATGACCTTGACAACCTCGATAATCCCGAGTACAAGAGTGAACTGACGAAGGTGATAGTGAACATTGAGATTATCTTCGTTTAATATACAGTACAGTACAGCACCTTGATGTTGATGTTAGTGAGTCTCTGTACAGTTGGCTGCGTCATCAAAACATAGAAATACTGTTCTGTCTTTCCAGGCGGTGTTGAGCGTGTACAGCTTGGTGTTCCCTTCCTGTCCCCCCACCCACAGGTGAGTTACACACACACACACACACACACACACACACACACACACACACACACACACACACACACACACACTTGGGATATCCCTATCAGGTGAACAGTATCCCAGTACTAGATTCAACCCATTTTATAGGAACCAATACTCTGGTGAGCTCCGTCTTAGGTGAACCCGGTTCAAACGAGTTCTTATGAAGTGAACCTTCTACAGGTGAGTTTCTATTAGGTGAACGCCACAAGTGAGTCAGTTGAGGCTTCTTTGTAATCCATATATTTGAACCCCGTCCATGAATGAACCCACTAAGATGGCACTTCATTATTTGAACTCCGTAGATGAGCTTCCTATGTATGACCAAGACACAACACTTCCTCTTACCACTAAACCCACAAGACAAAATAATTGAACAGTGATGGTAAAGTCTTGATGCAGCTCAACACTTTTACAGCCACGTCAGAATTTTTGTTTATCCCGTTGGTGAGAATTTTGCCGTCAAGATGAAGTTACCTGAAGTTTACACCGTTTTCTGTCGAGACAAAATTTCCCACCTAGTCACTGATTATTTGGAAACCAGAAAAAATAATGATGTATGTACTGTATTTATAAAAGGTGAATACATAATAGAGTATATAGTATACTGAAGGTATGAATGGTAATATATAAAGTATATATAGTAGCTGCTAAGTGTATATTCTACTAAGCATACGTCATATACGCATATAAAACATACAAAGTACACAAACTATATGACTGGATCTAGTTGAATATACAAGGAACATTAGCTGACATAATATACACTGAAGGTTCTGGAGTAACGTCAGATAACTCCAGTTATTGACACACTATAAAACACGGTACAGTAAGTAACTAACTTACCAAGAAAAGGACAGACCCTCAACCAGCTGTCGAGGAGGAAGTGAGGACAGTCAGGAGTAAAATTAATGAGGTGAGGAAAACAGAGGAATTAAATAGAAAGCAAAGTACTTATAGATAATTATATAGAAACATACAGACATACAGATAGTGAGACATAGACACAGGAAGACACCTAAAACATACATAAACATGAACAAAAGCAAGTCATCATCAACACACTAACCAGGTCGTGTTTCTCTCCCCTACAGCCCGCCCGAACTGCTTGAGGCCCCACCACCACCAATGTAGTGTGCCTTATATTTTTGTAGGTGTTTCCCCAAGTATCTGTGTAATAAACTATATATTTCGACGAAGAGTTGTTTCTTTACCCTTCAAGTACACTCATGACCTTGTCTATCATTAAATACTTATTTATATAACACATTGAGATGTTCTTTACTGTTGTGTTCAAGACCAACGTGTTGACGCCACACCTGGTGATGAACACATAGTGAAGCTACACCTGGTGAGGGACACGGGGTGAAGCTACACCTGGTGAGGGACACGGGGTGAAGCTACACCTGGTGAGGGACACGGGGTGAAGCTACACCTGGTGAGGGACACGGGGTGAAGCTACACCTGGTGAGGGACACGGGTGAAGCTACACCTGGTGAGTGACAGTGGTGGTGAGGGACACGGGGTGAGGCTACTCCTGGTGAGGGACACGGGGTGAAGCTACACCTGGTGAGGGACACGGGGTGAAGCTACACCTGGTGGGACACGGGGTGAAGCTACACCTGGTGAGGGACACGGGTGAGGGTGAGGACACACACACCTGGTGTGAGGCACGCCATTATACATTTATTACATCTTATGGTAACAGATACAAGGTGGTAACAGATAAAGGAGGAAGATGAAAACAAATTCAGAGAGCTGAACGTAAACAAGGTGTGTTGAGGAGAAACAAACTTCCTCAAACACTGAAGTTTTGTACACTCTTAGGAGGCGGGATGGTGATAACTTTATACACACATAAACGTCTTTACACAAATGCACGCGAGTATTATGTCCAGGTGCCAACAGTAGTGTAGTGGCACCTGTCAACACCTGATATAAATTTTTAACTCTTATCTTACTTACGGAATATTAATGACTGGCCAGGTGCCATGATAATATTATTTCACTGCATTTATTCTGGAGCTTTAGTCTCGTCCGCGGCCTCGTGTTGGTCTTCCTCTTCCATACTGGTTTCCATATTGGCTTTCTGTGTCTAGGCAAATATTACCAATATATATTCAAATATTCAGCCGAGTCTGATATTGAGCTTTGTAAAGGAATGGAAGATAGAAAACACACACACACACACACACACATTATATATATATATATACATATATATATATATATATATATATATATATATATATATATATATATATATATATATATATATATATATATATATATATATATATATATATATATATATATATATGTTCAAGGGGGTTAATACAGTTTGGTACCGTGTAGTTAAGAATTATTAAAGGTAAATCAGGTTCTCACAAGATAACGTTTGTTAACGGAGAACGACAAATTTGTTACGTAAGACAATGTAAATTATATTTCTCCTATATTACATCTTACGAACGACTTCATATTGATAGTAATTCACAAACAAATTGGGGACGATGACGAAAGATTTTAAGTTTCTACATTTCTTCGTTTTTGTGTTTTTGTGAGTGTGTGTTTGTTGCATGTATTTGGGCATTATGTGCGTGCGTGTGAGCGTGTGTTATAGAAAACGAGGTGAAGGAGTGAAATATAGACTTGAATCCAATCATTACTGCCCCTCCTCCCCCCCCCCGTCCCTGCTGACCTGGAGGGAAGACCACCACAACAGCGATAGCCCTGGCATGCGAAAACATTGCCAGAGCAGCGGCGAGTGGTAGACAATGTAATCTAACTCTCCGGGATGTAGCGAAGGCATTTGACAAAGTCTGGCACGACGGTCTAAAATATAAGATCCTCCAACTCGGACTTCCCACCAACATTGAAAAGTTGCTTTGCAACTTTCTTGACGGCAGAAATGCCAGACTGAGGGTAGGACAACACACAGGAGAGACCTTCCCACTCATGAGTGGAGTCCCTCAGGGAAGCGTCCTCTCCCCCACCCTATATATTATCTACACAAGTGACACCCCGCCTCCCACTAGAATAGGTAACGAAGATATTATGTATGCAGACGACATCACATCAAGGAAAATCGCGAACGTTACAGGCCGAAAACACCAGGCGGGAATTAGAAAGGGTAAATAACTACGAAAAACAATGAAAAATCCAAACCAGTCTCCCGAAATTCACAGTGATACCCGTATGCAGAAGGAAAACCCATCCATTAGTAACCAATAATGCCCAGATAGAATACAAAAGCAGAGGCACCCTCCTGGGCCTGCATATATCCACGACAGGTTACTACCATCATGTCCACAGTAGGAAGGAAAAAGCAAGAAGAGAGCTGAGAAAACTATACCGCTTTAAAGCGCTTCCTGAGAAAATAAAACTGCGCCTTGTGACATCATTTATCACACCGATATTAACTTACCCAGCAATACCTCTTCATACTATGAGCACCACTCAAATATTAAAATTATAGGTGGTCCAAAATGAAGCCCTAAGATTCGTCACAGGTGAAAGATACCCCTTCACCAGAACCACAGCCGAGATACATAGAGACCTGAGAATGAAACCCATCAACCAGCAGCTGCACACCCTGGCCAGCAGAATCTGGCAAAAGATAGAACGATCAGAGCAAGAACTCCTTCAAAGACTCCCACCAGATAACGACAACAACCATACATGGTTCCCAAAAAGCTACGAAATCTCAAAAGGTCCATTACCACCCCTGATCTACACGGCCAGGCAATAGACAACTCCCTAGACCAGCATCCGCCAGTAGGGTCGGCGGAATATGAAATAAAGCCCTTAAAACACCCATAAATGGGACAGGGTAGGCTGTCTAGTGCCTGTACCGGCCGACAATAACTAACCCATGACACAACCCAAACACACTATTAGCTTAGCTAGGCGGTCAGCCCGCCCTCTCTTACCTCCTCCTGAATTTCTTCAATTTCCGAACTATAACTTCCTTCCCCCACCTCTAATCTTCCTTCATTCCTCCTTTCCCTACAAAAAAAAAAGAAAAAAAAGAGCTGTTGAATCAATGTCTTCTCTTGTGTTTCACAGAGAAAACATGTCTCACATTCGTCCCGGCGTCTCTCTGTCATTACTGAGATATCAACACTCACCTCTTGTCATCTAACACTACTGTAGTTAAGATAACCATGACACTGATCTCACCTGTTAGATTTAGTGATGGAAGGGACGCGTCCCTGTCCAGGAAAGGTAAACATATGTGACTGGGAGACGACCCTCCTGGTGTATTCCTCCGCGTTTTCTGTTGCGTGTTACCCGAGTACCTGAAGGTGTGGGGGAACTAAAGTAAACTGACAACCTTTCTTTAATTATGGAACCGTAAATTTATTCAAATCAATTTGTCTTTATATAAGTTTAATCCCTCGTTCTGTAAATAACACCCATCCTCTACCGACCCGCACACGACACCCACTACCCACACACCACCATCCCCCGTGTTCTCTCTGCCACGATCGTGATTTTAAATTCAGGTACTAAAGTATTTCCGTAATCATGTTGTACAAGTAAAGGTTTTAAAAATCCCAATCAAAGTACAACACCAGACCAAAATTAACTTACATACAGAGTACAAGACCCTCACAACATTAACTTCCGAATACATAGTCATAAACGTGTTGCTTCTTCTCAATTATTTACATTTATTTACACAATTTATACCTAGATTACCTGAGTCCATCGTAAGGGTGATTCTCCGGCTGGATGTGCCTATCTGTCTCTACACTGTCAATATATTCCCTTCATGGTGTTGCTCCTCGACTCTGTTCTGAACTCCCCACAGCCTCCTCCACTTCCTCTTTACCTCTGCTCACCTTTTTTTAATCCTATCCTTTCACACCATTCCTCTCTCCCCGTCTCTCGTTTTCTTTACTCTCTACCTCTTTCCACGTCTGTCCTGCCCTCTCTTTCTCTCCCTCACTTACCACTCCACCACCTCCTCTACCTCTCTCTTCCCACCCGAGACTTTTACACACACACAACAGACCGACAGCAAAGGTCAGCTTCATATATTATGTTAAAGCTGTAATGTGGATGGGTCTCAACCTCTCACTGAAGCTTGTGGTGGTAGTGGTAGTGGTGGTGGTGGTGGAATAACGGACTTATATATTATGGAAACAAAAAACCGATGAGAATTCTCCCTGTTTTCTCTTTTTTTCCTTCTCCCTTTCTTCGCTCTTTTTTTCGTCTCCGAAGCTCTTTCTCTTTCTCTCCTTTGGTGTCCTTCTCTCTTTCAATTTCTCTTCTCTCTCTCTGTCTCTCTTTGTTACTCACTTTCTTTCAATATCTCTTATTTTTTTCTTGTTCTCTCCCCTTCTATTCTTTCTTTCATTTCCTCTCTATTTTAATATCTCTTTCTTGTTTTCTCATTGTATTTCTTTTCTCTATCTTGCCTTATCTTTTCCTTTCGTTTTCTTCCAATCTCTCCTGTTCTTTATTCTATGCCTCCGATTATTTTCTAATGTCCTTCACGTTTTCTCTCTTTCTGTTCTCTCATTCCCTTTTTCTTTTTTTTACCGAGGTAAGATATGAAAGGGAGTGAAAGCCCAGCACTTACCGCCGTCAGGAGCCTTCATCACCCACCTTCTGGTCACCTGCTGTTGTCCATCAGCTGTGGCCGGGAGAGGGGGACTCGGAGGCCTGGCCAGCTGCCAAACATGCCTCTGAGGATTTTATTTTACCCATATACTGTTTAGAGAGAACAGAAGGAACTTGGGAGAGGGGGAGGGATCATAGGATTTTATTTTACCCATATACTGTTTAGAGAGAACAGAAGGAACTTGGGAGAGGGGGAGGGATCATATACGTACGCCGGCCTACCAAGAGAGGAACAGAGGTGGGCGCAGGTCACCAAGGACGGGGAACTTCGTACTCAGAGGAGTCCTTATGAAGGTGAACCAACCCCTTGATCCGAAAGTTCATCCTTGATGGTACAAAGACTCCAGCTTCAACCATCCAACTCAGGACGACCTTAAGAGGGGACCCCTACGGTGTGTGGGGCTGACGACCCATAATGGGGTTCAAGACATTGTGGTAACTGTGTGGAACCTCACCAGCAACCAGCTCGTTATGGGTGACCCGACCAGGTGTCAACAAAACTATAATGATCCGTATGAGTTTGATAGAGAGGAAGGTCTTGCTCGTATTTCAGTGCCCAGTGAG